CAGAAAGCCATGCTTCATTTAGTCACAAAGGACTTTTTACTAACTTTTGAACCACTTGTCTGATTTGTGCCATTTTTGAATATGTTGTTCCCCTGAATGGATTGATTGTGAATATGTAATTTTATGTGAATGTGATGTATAGTTTTAGAGTTATGAAAGTTGGGTAGAAAGTATGTTTTAACTGTATGTGTAATTGAGTTTCCTCTCAGGATAAGGGGAGGGAATATGTGGGATGTAACTGTGATGTGATTGGTTGTTTTGTAACGCCCTGTGGGCTGTACTATGTTTGTGGATTGGGAATAAAAGAGACTGTAAGTGACAGTACAGGGAGTTCCTGTTTTAACCCTCAAAGTGAAGTGTCGTCTCATTATTGGGGGAAGGATTCATTGTATGCTGTTCCAGTTTGACTGCTAGGAGAGTAAACCAATTCCTATGGTTCCTATTCAACTGTCTACAGCATTCATATGCTTGGGAGAATTTATTTGTTTCTCCGGTTCGGTGATTGTGGTGTCTGCCAGAGTGCTTGGAGTCCTCAGGAAGCGCTAGGAGCATCCTTCAGCGGAGGTACCCAGTCGGGGGTGCCAGGTGATCCGTTACATTGGTGTCAAGCGGTGGGATGGCGTCCTAGTGCGAGGTAAAGCAGCTCGGAGACACAGTTCGTGGATTTACAAATTGAGGGCAACGCTAGTACCCGTACAGCGACCCTATCTACAAAAGAACTAACTTTAGCAGAGCAAGCATGGCGTATGACTACACTCAGGAGGAGTTTGACAGAGAGGTTAATGAGGTGCTGTCTACCTTTGGACCCAACCCCCCAGAGAGAGCCGTGCAGCTCGCCAGGAAAACTAGTAGGAGAATACCTGCAATCTCTAGTAGATTTGGCCAAAAAGGAGTCCCAGGGAGCCAAAGGTGTCGTCCTTCCTCCCCAGCGGCAGTGTGTACCCCAGGGAGCAGAAGGTGTTGTCCTTCCTCCCCAGCGGCAGTGTGAGACCCAGGGAGCCAAAGGTGTCGTCCTTCCTCCCCAGCGGCAGTGTGTACCCCAGGGAGCAGAAGGTGTTATCCTTCCTCCCCAGCGGCAGTGTGTGTCCCAGGGAGCCAAAGGTGTCGTCCTTCCTCCCCAGCGGCAGTGTGTGTCCCAGGGAGCTGAAGGTGCCGTCCTTCCTCCCCAGTGTGTATCCCAGGGAGCTGAAGGTGTCGTCCTTCCTCCCCAGCGGCAGTGTGTAGTCCCAGGGAGCCAAAGGTGTCATCCTTCTTCCCCAGCGGCAGTGTGTACCCCAGGGAGCAGAAGGTGCCGTCCTTCCTCCCCAGCGGCAGTGTGTATCCCAGGGAGCTGAAGGTGTCGTCCTTCCTCCCCAGCGGCAGTATGTATCCCAGGGAGCTGAAGGTGCCGTACTTCCTCCCCAGCGGCCGTGTGTCCTGCAGGAAGCGGAGACAGTCGGTCTCGCTCCCCAGCAGCAGGACAATATATTGAAAGGGGAGACAGTTGGTCCCCCTCTCCAGCAGCAGAGAGTGTTCCAGGGAGAGGAACCAGTTATCACCTCTCCCCAGCAACAGGACAAATTATTGAAAGGGGAGACAGTCGGTCTCCCCCTTCAACAGCAGAGAGAGTGTCAGGGAGAGGAGCTTGTTATCCCCTCTCCCCAGCGGCTGAAAGTATGTATGGGAGAGGAGCTTGTTACCCCCTCTCCCCAGTGGCAGCTTAGCCCACCAAGGGGAGACAGTAATCTCCACAACAGTGCAGATGGGACAGTGGTCTCTGCACATGCACCACCGGGGGTAGGGACAGTCGGTCCTGTGCCCCAGCAGCAGGACTGTTTAGGCAGCAACCAGGCTCCAACCAGACTACTCCCGTGGTAGTGTTGGCACCAGGACAGAGTACCGCTGGTCTCTGCCAACTCAGCAACCCACCCAGTACGCTTACCAGTCACCCACACAGCCATGGTGAGGCACCTGGACACGGACAAAGTTCTCCTCTACCCAGGTGTAGTAGCCAGTTATTGTGGGTGGGTTGTATTACTGATTGTGTTTTGTGGGTGGGCTGCTGGACTAACAAGGGCACTGACCGGCAGGAGGTCAGATACCCTGTTAGTCTGATTGGTAAAGGGGAGAAGTGTGGCGGAACCAACCTCGTCACTATGCACTGGAGAAGCCTGGTTGCCAGCCTCCTGCCATGTGACTATGGCCCCTGGGATGTATTGCCCTTTAAAGACATGATTTGGGCATAATGGATTTGTGTTGTGCTGCTGCTGGCCCTTTTTAAGAACCATCTGGGGACATACTGTGGAGTTACTGGGTTGCCACCATTTCCTGTATCAGAAGCACATGGTGAGAACAATGGATGGCGGCCATTTCAACTCACAGACACTGTGTGGACTTTTCAACACGGTGCCATCTCGCCAGTATTTGTTGCACAGAGACATCGTGCGGTGGTTTTGGACTATACAGCAGGGGACACATTATACAGTGATTGTTTTTATTTAGCCTGTATATGTTCTGCAGAATCTGCATTAAACTGTATTTTCCAAAGTACTGAACGGATCTGGGTGAATTTTGGATATGTGGTTCACCCAGATCCCCAGTTCCAAGGATATACTTTTTATGGGGTTATTGCATGTTTTGGGGTCCCTGTGATGTGTTTTATGAAACTGTATTTCTCTGGCTGTGATAATTAGATTACCCATTGTGTACAGTAATCATATCACAGCCAGAGGGGAGGATTTTGTGTGGGAGTGTGTGGGTGTATTGTATGGATTGATTGGCTGTTTTGTAACGCCCTGTGGGCTGTACTATGTTTGTGGATTGGGAATAAAAGAGACTGTATGTGACAGTACAGGAGTTCCTGTTTTAACCCTCAAAGTGAAGTGTCGTCTCATTATTGGGGGAAGGATTTATTGTATGCTGTTCCAGTTTGACTGCTAGGAGAGTAAACCTATTCATATGGTTCCTATTCAACTGTCTACAGCATTCATATGCTTGAGAGAAGGTATACGCTTCTCTGGTTCGGTGATTGTGGTGTCTGCTGCAGTGCTTGGAGTCCTCAGGAAGCGCTAGGAGCATCTTTCAACGGAGGTACCCAGTCGGGGTGCCAGGCGATCCGTTACACCTAGTACCTGCATACTCAACTGCTGAGCGGGCGGGGTCGTCATTCTTGTATCCACTCTTGCAGTTCAGGTTGTAGTGAGGTTAGGAAGTGTTCCAGGAGAAGGAATTGTAGTACCTCCTCTCCTGTTCTAGTTTGACACCTGGCAATCCAATGGGAGGAAGTGCGGTGTAGGCGGCATGCCCACTCCATATACGAATCTCCAACTTTTTTCTAGAGTCTCCAAATCGGCGGCGATATGCCTCAGGGGGGACCGCATAGCGGGTGAGCAGGGCCTCTTTAACTAAGTGATAGTGTTGGATTTCCTCATTGGGGATGGCTCGAAAGGCTTATGATGCTCTACCGGACAATTTGCTTGATAGAATGGTGACCCATTCCTCGGAGGGTACTTGATGTAATGCACATTGTCTCTCAAAATCTCCTAGGTAACCATCTATTTCTCACTCTGCTTCCAGAAATGGCTTGAATGCTGTGAACAGTACCTTCTGAGCACCTTAGCTTCCACTGGGTTCTCGGGTCACTGTGCTGCTACCAAGTGAGCAGCCGTTGCACGGGGGTTCAGCTTCCACAGCACTGAACATTTGGGCAATTCATTCTTCAGACAGGTTCGGCCCATATATCGCCAATCATGACAATTCATAGTGTTTAGTCTTCCTCTGTGTTCGGGTCACTTGGTTCGGCCATTATTGTTGTTCGGTCCAGTTCCAGCAGATCGGCAATTCATTCTCTCCGTGGTCGGTTACTTGCTGTGCTTCCACGGCTCTCCAGCAAGTCTTCCAATGTTGGCCTCTTTAGCTTCTCACACTGGTTATCCATCCGGTCAGCGCTTCCTCTGGGGATAAAAGGACATCCTCATTACATATGGTACATGTGATGAAATGCCTTTTGTCACTGGATTATTAGGTGACAAGCTGCCCTTTGCCCCCAGCTGTTGGAGGAGCCTGATTGCCAGCCTCCTTCCTCAAGACTATGGCCCTGGGGCGTAGTGCCATTTAAAAAGACTATTTGGGGCTTATTGGCTTCTAAAGACTGTTTCTGCCCATTTGAATCCATGGGAAGGTGTGTCTCTTCCCCTCCCCTGTTTCCTGTCTATTGTTCTCCAGCAGAGCGTTGTCCCAGGCTGACTCCCCAGCGGCAGTGTGTTGTCAAGGGAGAAGAGACAACCGGTCTCTCTTCCCAGCGGCAGCCAGCATCCCAGGGAGAGGAGATTGTCGGTCCCTCGTCCCTGCAGCAACCATCATCACTGGGAGTGGAAATGCTCCCACCACCCAGCACCAGGCAGCGTTACCAGGAGTCGAGACAGTCGGTCTAACTCCCCAGCGGCAGTGTGTTGTACCGGAAGAAGAGACAACCGGTCTCTCTCCCCAGCATCAGTGTACCCTACCAAGGGGAGACCCTACTCCCCCAGACGGTGCAGATGGGACCGTAGTCTCTGCATCCAACCTACAGGTATGCTGGACAGCCTATCCAGATCCCCAACTACCCTCACAAGAATACCGGGCGGAGGAGGTAAGCGATGTCTCCCCTCCCCAACCAAGTTGCGTCCAGGCTACCCCAGCAGGAGCGCTGGCATCGGGGCAGAGTGCAGTTGGCCTCTGCCCCCCAAATCCCCACAGCGTGTTGCCCAGTAGCACCAGAGGAACCACCAGGTGCAGTAAATGTGTGTTGTGGGTGGGCCACTCATGTACTTGTTCACTGTGGGTGGGTTTATCGATTAACTCAGGCACTGACCGACAGGTCAGGTACCTGGTTAGTCTCCCCCCCAAAGGGGAGATGTGTGATGAAATACCTTTTGTCACTGGATTGTTAGGTGACAAGCTGCCCTTTGCCCCCGGCTGTTGGAGGAGCCTGATTGCCAGCCTCCTTCCTCATGACTATGGCCCCGGGGCGTAGTGCCATTTAAAAAGACTATTTGGGGCTTATTGGCTTCTAAAGACTGTTTCTGCCCATTTGAATCCATGGGAAGGTGTGTCTCTTCCCCTCCCCCGTTTCCTGTCTATTGTTCTCCAGCAGGGCGTTGTCCCAGGCACACTGCCAAACCAGTTGGAACTGACTGCTTTTGTCCCTCCTTGGTTTCTCAACAGCTCTTGCTATGCTTTACCCCATGGAAAATTTACTCTGTTCATGGGATCTGTGTGCTGTTCACCTAGATTGAGTGCTCAGATTCGAGCTATCTTGGGATAGGTTAAATGTGGGGGTTCTGTGTAATATAATAAGAATTATGTATTTTTATGTACTTTTACGTATTTTTGCTGTTAGTGTAAAATGTAGATATTTTTTGTACCTGGAGATAATTAAGTTTACTGCAGTGCCTTAAGCCAATTATCTCCAGGATGGAGAGGAGGGATTTCATTGTGTATGTGAGAGTGTTATTATGTTAATTAGTGTTCCCATTGGTTTGTATCCCTTTTGTCACAGTTTACCAC